GTATATATATATATATATATATATATACAGTATATGGCTCAACTTCTTAGCTTCATAAATGCAGCATAAAAATAAATTAAAATTGTTTTTTTTATAAAATTCTAACCAAACAGTTAGAAAAGGGTCAAATTTATTGTTAAAAAATTAAATAAAATGTGGATCAGATCATTAGAGGCATTTGAAAATTTTGCGTATTTTTTTTCTGCAATTTTGTTTCATTTGAATAGCTGGTGAAACTGAGCACATCCCACTTATCACCACAAACGGCCTTCTGTCTGCCTCTTCTGCCACAAAACCAATTCACTGATAACTATCGAAAGCAGAAAAACAACACTTAAGACCTAGTTCACACTGCTAGACACTGGGAACACAGATAAGTAATCAGAAGTTACCAAACTTTGTCTTTGTCTGATACATTTCTGTATTTCACAGTTCATTGTGATGAGCCTCATGTTGGAACAATTAACACATTAAAAATGAAGCAAACAAAATCTGCATTCTTTGCTATTCACTCAAATGATGAAAATATTGAAGAAAATTGTAATTTGAAGACAGTAAAATTAAAGCCATGTAACTTTCAGTTTTTTAGTCTGGCTATATTTTATATACCAAACTCGTATCCCTAGTATTTGTAATACTGAAATATTATATGCACTGTTTGGTTTGTAGAGACAGATGGTAAAAATGAGACACTTAAGTAAAAACTTCAAAGGATAATTACTTAAATATGACATAAAAATGATCAGTGCTAACAGAAATTGCACACTTGAGTTCATCTGCTCCTGTTATTCCAGAATCTCCAGCAGGTGTTTACTGTCTGATGAGTGGGACTGCATGCTCTGGAGGGTAACATGGTTCAGAGTATCATGAGCAGTGTTGCCAAACCCCTCCCTCCGAAAATCTCTAGAACCACCCTCAAAAGTCTACATTTTTCACAAAAAGTCACCAAATATGAAAACAAAGTAAATACAGGTAAAATTGGTAAAGGTAAAGGAAAGTACATATATATATATATATATATATATACACTTTACAAATGATGACAGTATAAAAAATATAACAAAAGATTAGGTATAACAAAAAATTCTGAAGTGAAATTAGGAAATGCTTGTGATCTGCAAGCACATCAAACATGATGGAAATGATGGAAAGACACAATGTTGGGAATTATCTGTCCTGCTCAAATACAACAGATAAGAGATATTATGATTCTCCAAAACAAAAACTTTATTCATACAATCTTATTTCAGTCAACACACTCTATTACTACAAAGTAAGTGCAAAATACTGCATCCCAGCACACATGACACGATGATGCACTGTGTCTCTCTCTCAGTATCTGGTTGACATGACTGCGCATGAATTGTGGTATAACTTTTGTGTCCGTGGTTAAAACAAGATGTTCATGCACTGAGTAGTTGGTGCCCTGATGTAGTCAGAAGAACACTGAGAAGATCAAAGGTCTGGACTCTCAGGTGGTTTTGCCTGGGCATGAGCCTGGGTTTCACAGTACAGTTCATCATCTATGCAGTAGTATCTTTCTGCCTTAGGTTTTCCTCACATTCTGTACACACGAAACAGTCTGGGTGACGAAACTTATCCTGAACCTTCACAACCATCCCACTGAGAAAACACACAGAGTTAACTCTCAGGTCTTGGAGCAGGGCTGTCCAAACTCGGTCCTGGAGGGATCTGACTTAGCATTTTGTATGACTTTGCAATATTTGCAAAAAGCTTCTGATGCATTTCCCATAATAGGCTGAAGCCAGTCTTTAAATGCAGGTTCTTGCAACCAGCAATTTTTAAAGTGCTGCTCATATTTTTTCTCCGCCATCTTGATTGATGCTTATAATGAAATTGTGGTGTGCATCATGGCAGGCGTGGCGTACTGGTGTGTTCACGGCGCAGACTCATTGGCGTGATTGAGAGCAAACGTGAGGGGGTCACGGGCCTACGGCAGGGTGTGGCCAAGTAAAAAATAAAAAAAAATCTCCAAAACAAATCGCTAGTTTTATTTAAGTACAGCTAAAATATTATTAATATTTTTTTGCGACAAGGAGCTATATAGGATTTGATTAAAATATCTGGATTACGTTGTCTAAGATTACTGCACGTTCTTTTGTTCCCCGAAAAGGGTAGATTTATCGATACTCAAAACCACGATCAGCAATGCAGCGATTGGCTGGTGGCAAGACAACAACGTAATGACATCATATAATTAAAAAAGACACCTGACGAAAAACTTGACAAATTTCTGGAAACGGCCAAGTGCTAAAAGGTTGAAAACCCATGATCTACAGTGTAGGAAGCTAAAGGTTTTTGGGTTAAGGTTCATAATGTAGAATATTTTTAACATTGTGTGCTGTATGTGCATAGGTAGCTAGTGTGCATCATGGCAGGCGTGGCGTACTGGTGTGTTCACGGCGCAGACTCATTGGCGTGATTGAGAGCAAACGTGAGGGGGTCACGGGCCTACGGCAGGGTGTGGCCAAGTAAAAAATAAAAAAAATCTCAAAAATTCGCTAGTTTTGTTTAAATATAGCTAAAATAGCTCCTTGTCGCAAAAAAAAAGTCGCAGCTACAATGTGAAAGTAGCTAAATTTGGCGACAAAATCACCAAATTGGCAACACTGCTGGCCTCATGTCATACTTGGCCACATGTCACTTTCACTTTCAAAACTTTATTCATACAATCTTATTTCAGTCAACACACTCTATTACTACAAAGTAAGTGCAAAATACTGCATCCCAGCACACATGACACGATGATGCACTGTGTCTCTCTCTCAGTATCTGGTTGACATGACTGCGCATGAATTGTGGTATAACTTTTGTGTCCGTGGTTAAAACAAGATGTTCATGCACTGAGTAGTTGGTGCCCTGATGTAGTCAGAAGAACACTGAGAAGATCAAAGGTCTGGACTCTCAGGTGGTTTTGCCTGGGCATGAGCCTGGGTTTCACAGTACAGTTCATCATCTATGCAGTAGTATCTTTCTGCCTTAGGTTTTCCTCACATTCTGTACACACGAAACAGTCTGGGTGACGAAACTTATCCTGAACCTTCACAACCATCCCACTGAGAAAACACACAGAGTTAACTCTCAGGTCTTGGAGCAGGGCTGTCCAAACTCGGTCCTGGAGGGATCTGACTTAGCATTTTGTATGACTTTGCAATATTTGCAAAAAGCTTCTGATGCATTTCCCATAATAGGCTGAAGCCAGTCTTTAAATGCAGGTTCTTGCAACCAGCAATTTTTAAAGTGCTGCTCATATTTTTTCTCCGCCATCTTGATTGATGCTTATAATGAAATTGTGGTGTGCATCATGGCAGGCGTGGCGTACTGGTGTGTTCACGGCGCAGACTCATTGGCGTGATTGAGAGCAAACGTGAGGGGGTCACGGGCCTACGGCAGGGTGTGGCCAAGTAAAAAATAAAAAAAAATCTCCAAAACAAATCGCTAGTTTTATTTAAGTACAGCTAAAATATTATTAATATTTTTTTGCGACAAGGAGCTATATAGGATTTGATTAAAATATCTGGATTACGTTGTCTAAGATTACTGCACGTTCTTTTGTTCCCCGAAAAGGGTAGATTTATCGATACTCAAAACCACGATCAGCAATGCAGCGATTGGCTGGTGGCAAGACAACAACGTAATGACATCATATAATTAAAAAAGACACCTGACGAAAAACTTGACAAATTTCTGGAAACGGCCAAGTGCTAAAAGGTTGAAAACCCATGATCTACAGTGTAGGAAGCTAAAGGTTTTTGGGTTAAGGTTCATAATGTAGAATATTTTTAACATTGTGTGCTGTATGTGCATAGGTAGCTAGCAATCAAGGAATACAGCTGTTGAGCTAATAGTCACATTTAGCTGAGTAAGATCATGATTGAGAAATGTTGGATACTGCTGGAAATGCTGCTATGGGGTATCCTATTTATTATTTTAGGATTTTTTAGTTTGCCCCAGTGATGCATTTCTATTAATATAGCTGATTAAGTAGTCAAACTCATTCCATATCTGTAGAATAGTGTGGTACAGAAAGTCTATGTCTATAAAACAGGTTCTGAATGAATCAGGTTACTGATACCTAATGGTCAAAAGCAATAGCAAAAGTAATAGGTCAATATTATTAAATTGCAGACAAATATTTTGAATAGCTAGGCTGGCTTGTACACTATATTGCCAAAAGTATTGGGACACCTCCTTCTAATGAACAGGTTTGACTACTTTAGTAATTTCAAATTTTTTGTAAAAACAAAAAGCATATAATGCTGTTCTAGGGAATTGTGTGCTTCTAATTTTATACTAATAGTTTGAACAGGATCATTTTCTATTCTAACACAACAATACCTCTGTGTATAAGGCAAGGTTGCTTCAGTCAGTGTGGAAGAACTTGACTGGTCTGCAGAAAGCCAAGTCTTAACCCCAGCTGAACACCTCTGCTGTGACTTTAAATGCAGACCTTGAGCCAGAAACTCATCACCAAACACCTGTGACTTGTACATACATATGGACAAATGTATTGGGACACCCCCTTCTTTGGAACAGAAAAAGGCACTTCCAAACCTGTGGCATCAAAGATGGAAACATAATTCATGTATTTAAAAATTGTATTTCCATCTTTGTTGCACAGTTTTGGAAGTGTCTAAAATATGTACAAGTCATTGGTTTTTGGCGATTCGTTTTTTTACCCTTGCATTCATGGCAGTGCCTTTAAGACAACTGTTGTGTAGGTCATCGCATCAACTGCTGCACCTGAAAGATCATGTTAGAAGAAAATGTTAGTGATATCAAGCTTTGTACAATATGTTCTCCAGATTCAAAAACATCTCCATTTTAACCTCTTAAGAACAGAGAAAAGAAAAAAAAATGTTTTTTTTCATGTCTTTACATTGTTTAGAGCATAAAAAAAGCACATCGGGACACAATAAAAAAAAAAAAAGACATGCATGAACAAAAACAATAGATTTTTTAAAATCACCAATACATTTTTAGTTTTCAAGATTTTTTTTTTTACCAAACTTTGTATAAAGATAATTCTCTATAACTATGTTATAACAGAATGATTTGATATGCAATTTTTCTTTCTGCAAAGTGTGTGTAAAATGGCCATAAACGGGTTTTCTCATTATATACAATGTATCTATAAACTAAATCTAATTTGCATATTAATGTTTTTGTGCCAACATGTAATGAAAAAAGAAGTGTAATAATGGGAGTAATATTTGACAAGATTTTCATAATAATATAAAATATTTAATAGAATATTGAAACATAATTTCTTTCCCTATTCATTTATGTCTCCCAAAATGCTAATAAACATGCTTTTAGTCCCAGTGTCCTCATATGAGGACATGTATGAAATCAACATCCTGTTTCATAACAAAGTCATATTTTGATTTGAAACCCCATAACATTTTCCTGAGATGTTGATTTATGACAGACAGTTTAAAAATGAGACTGATTTAAATGATAATTACAAAATATGATCATATTTCCATAAGAGTGTCACTAAATTAATATCAGACATATTTGAAGACCAAGGAGAGGGAGTGGTCATAGTGAAACATAAAACGGTGGCATGTATAGTCTCAAGAGAAATACACCAAAATATAATGTCCTCATATGAGGTCTCAGGAGGCTAGAGCAGTTCACATTGAAAACTATTCCAGAGTGACTTGAATTGAATCAGCCTGGCTCAGAATCATATTGTCATCACACATCGGGTCTTTTACTTGTTTTGTTTATAATGTCTTTACAATATGTAGCTTTCACTTCATTTACTGTATTGTAGTAGCATATGTGTTGTATGAATTGTCTTAAATCATTATGGTTTGTTTCATAGCAGTAGTCAGACTCACGTTTTGTCCATGTATAGTAAACACACACAGAGACCAGACAGAGCAGCAGAAATCCTCCTCCTCCTCCTCCTGCAGCTATGAGCTGCCAGTTACGGAGCAGTGAAAACTCGACAGCAGCCAGACCTGATCAAAATCATACAGATGACTGAGATATAAGCCAGCATAAATTCATCCACTTCATAACACTATATCAGGTTTCTACTGCCGATAGTCTATTAATGTCCTCGTAAAGAGGTATAATTCACATACTCACTGATTTCTATCTCTTTATAGCCCAGAGAACAGTTGAAGTCTCTGTACAGTTGACAGCGGTAGAGACCCAGATCAGAGAGCCGCACATCTCTAATCAGGATGGAGAAGTTTTCAGAGGCAGCAGCATCACCGAATCCATTAATTCTATTGTGTCTGTTATTCCAGAAGCTTATCTGACCATTTACTATGATCTCTAAAATGTAGTCAACTGTTTCATTATTAATCTGAGTCCACAGAGCACTCGAACTCATGGTCAGGTCTGATCCAAAGAGAGCTGGTTCAAAAAGGCACGGCAGCAGGACTTTAGATTGCAGTTCTGTGGTTAAATAGATTTTTGTAATGAGCTTTTCTTTAATACACAAACCATGACCTGTGTGAAGGATTAGAAATGGACAAGACTGATATAATCAAAGACAAAAGCACACTTTAATTGGTGCAATTAAAGAAATGTAGAGCTGATAAACATTTGAGAGAATTTACTGACCTCTGCCATACACAAGACAGCAGCAGCAGCAGCACAACATCCACACAGCAGAGAAATGCAGTCCAAACAGCTTCATGGTCTCATCTGATCACTGAAGCTGCAGGAGGAATGTGCATTGTGGTGTGAAATTGTCACTTCCTTACACATCGAGCAGGAAGTGTTCACAAATGCACAATTAACAATACAGAATAATTGTCTTCACATATGAAGGTGAATGTGTGAATTCTGCTTCAGACAGTTTTTTGATTCATCCAAACAAAAAATCTAATATTGGCATGTACACCTGTATACAGTATAAGCAAAAACTCTTGATATTTCTCAGTATTTACCTCAAGCCAGTCAGACTTCACCCTCACAACCGCTATAGTCATACACCTTAGATTTGATCTGACATTTTATCTTAATTTGGAAAAATTAAGAATGTGGTCATTTATGTTTTTACCAACATGGCAGTAATATTTCAATAATTTGAATTCCAATTATTCTCAAGCTTTGACTCAAATCATGACTTACAGTACATTACCTTCAAAGTATATTTTTATTCAGTTCTTGCATTCCCTGGGAATTAAACCAGTAATGTTAGCATTGCTAGCACTGCACACTACTGTTTGAACGACAAGAATGCTCACCTGAAGGACTCTGGAAAAAAGTTATATTTAAGACGCAGGGTGCACAGGCAGTACATAATGTGTCAAATTCTATATTAAACTGAACATGTTTTAGTTGCATTCAGTTGCTGTAGTGCTGTTGGGGAACTTAAACAAAAGGTTCACCCAAAATTGAAAATTCTGTAATCTTTTATTCACCCTCATGTTATTCCAAGCCAGTATGTGGAATCTTCTTTTTCAAAATATCTTGGATTTTTCTGGTAGCTGATTGGAAAGAAACACAGTAGAGACAGGAGATACAGCGCTGTTTGTTTCAGAGAGGTGGAGCTCTGTTCTACTTTATTGATTGGTCTGCACGTTTCTCATCCACTACTGAGGAGACAGAGTGATACAAACACTGGATTTCAAAATCAGGGGACAAGTAACTTTTTTTTTTCAGATGATATGTTAATACTGTACATTTGATAATATCGTAAATAATCCAGGGGCAGTGACTATCTGGTTGTTGCATCAACATAGTAGGCAGAGATAATGCACCTTGTTGTCACCCGTTACAAAAGAGAAAGACGACAACGACACAATTTGTAGCTCTTATCTCTCTCCCATGCACGCGTCGGGGCCACGGCGCCGCCTTGTGGCTGCTGCTGGGACTGCATGGAGGGAGATGGGCTGGCCATGGAGGTGGGAGGGGTACTACTGAGCATGCGCATCGTCAAGGGGTTATAAGGGAACTGCATGGAACCTGAGGCCAGAGGAAAGAGAAACAACCATTTTAAATGACAAAACAACTTCATCTAACAATCCACAATCAAGTCGCTCACCTGTGGATGACGGCCGGTCCTCCCAAGCCCAGGTGGGTGCCTGTCTGTGGTAATCGCCCTCTGAATGAACGGAGGACACAGAAGAGGGCCGCTCTCCGGCAGAGTAAGCCTGGCCTGGGTTAGGAGACTTTGATTTCCTGCTGCTAGCTTTACTCTGCAGCTTCTGTTTTCCTGCTATGGAGGCAGAAAGATAGACAAGGATGTCAGCAGTGAGGTTTATGTCCTAGACACAATTTGGTCTGGTCTTGAATGTAAACATTCAGAATAGAGGTATCACAATATATTTCAAAAATGAAATTTTAATGATATGTTAATACTGTACATTTGATAATATCGTAAATGATCCAGGGGCAGTGACTATCTGGTTGTTGCATCAACATAGTAGGCGGAGATAATGCACCTTGTTGTCACCCGTTACAAAAGAGAAAGACGACAACGACACAATTTGTAGCTCTTATTGCCGCTCAAAATAATGTTGGAGATGACAGACAAAAGCAAAACATGAACCTAAAAAATTTGCTTGCCAATGTGAGTTTTTTTAGCAAAAAAAAACAACAACAAAAAAACAAACAAACAAGGTGTTACACAGTCTGTAGGATGTGCCAATCAACGGCAAGTTCGTTTTGGATGCTTTCGTACAGTTACAAACTTTCTCTCTGCACTTTCTCAGCAGCGCTGCTTCCGGAAGTACTTTCCCATTCATTTTGAGTGTGATTCATTGGTCAAAAAAAGAGAAAACAAAAAGATACATTTGACCGATAGCATTTATTTATTTTCATTATAGATATCATGAAAATTTCATTATCATGAATGCTTTTAGCTGTGATAACTAATAAAAATCCAATATTGTGACTGCTCTAATTCAGAGTGATTATCCACTAAAGACCGGTATTATCTGTGTATTTATCCACACACAGATTAAAAAGACCAATACACTGTTTTTTTCGTGGTAATTAGCCGACCCACAAAGCACTCTGCAGAAAGTTCAGCATGTTGGTATGTTTTTTTCTGTTTTAGAGAAAATGTATGTTCATTGATGTGAATTTACAGTATGAACCTGTGTTAGGGGATGGGCTGGCCTCCTGTCGGCTGTCTGAAATACTGCCTGAGGTGTTTCCTGTCCCCAGCTGGGCTTGCTGCTGCTGGTCCTCCTGCTTCTCCTCCATGTTCCCCATCAGAGCCTTCCTGATGATGTCCTCCAGACCCAGATTACTGGCTGGATCACTAAACGAGTGGTTTCTAGGGTTTACACTGCCTGTAAAGGATAAAAAAAACATACACGCATGCACATATTGGAAACACTGAAAGCAATTTAAGAAGTGTTTAAACTATGATATAAAACACATGCCACAAACACAGAAAAATACATCAAATGATGCAAGTGTTGATGCAGTTACATGTTTTTACGGTGAAATTAATCATACTGATAAGTTGTGAAACTCACTTGATGTTGTTACTGCTGGGAGATTGAAGATCTCTGTGCCTGGCTGAGCGTTACCTGTTGAGGTCAGGAGCAAACGGGAGGTAGAATTAGGTGCTAATCAGGTGGCAATTGTCTAAATTAGGGATGCACCGATACCACTTTTTCCAGAACGACTCCGATACCGATACTTTCACTTTTGGTACTTGCCAATACAGGTACCAGTATTTTCATTGCATTTGTCATTTTTTAAAATACTGGGTACAGAAACCAGAATATAGTATGAATTATGCTAGTTGGCTTCATTTAGCAAACATATTTCCTTCAGTTATTTCCCTGACCAAACAACAAACTTTCCTGTGATATCTGTGAGAAAGGGATATTTGCTCGACACGTGCACGACACAACACACAGCGTGCTTTGCTCATCAGCTCGTGCACATCAGCTATACAGGCGTGAATATTGAATGTTTAACATAATATTACATACATGTTCTTCACAGACATCCTTAAATTCGAATAACTCCATTCTGCTCTCTGTTGTTCTGTGGTTCTTTGTCTGGACACAGCACTGTTCACACACTGTGTGGTATTATTTTTTTGGTATCGGAGCATTTTAATGAGTATGAGTAAGAGTACGAGTACAGGAGCGCAGTATTGGGCGCATAGTCTAAATAAAAGACATCAGTTTATCAGTGCAGTGAAGTAAATATTCTGAGCTTGAATGTCAGTAGGTCTCTGAGAAAATGGGCTTGCTGTTGTCACTCACCGACTTCTGCTTTGCGGAAGATCTCCTGCTTTTTGGACATAACCATAGGAGACGTGCTCTCCAGTTTGGTAAAGAATGAGGGCAGGTAACTGCTGCTGCCTGGGGAGCGCGAGTCAGTCCTGACACAAAAGAAAGGTCTAAGATCACACAGTGCATATGACATAGGAAATTTGGCTAGCCCAAAATAACTAAGACAATAAACAGACAACATTCAGGTACACAGGCAGTTGCTTTCAATTTAATTAAACTTCTTTATTACAACTTTTTCATATCATTTTCCTTTGAGTGTTTTTTTTTCTTTATCATTCTAAACAAACGCCTGAAAAAATATAGGTAATTTAAAAAAGGCATAAATAAAGGCTTATACATCAAAGTAGTAAAGAGAGACAATCAATTTCTACCTCTGTTCAGGGGGATCCTGCTCTCGTCTCTGACCCTGCAGCACACTGGCCTCCTGTTTATCCAACCCAGAATAACCCTGAGGAGGAGAGATGGGCTCATAGTTCTCCGGTCCTCGTCCTCGATCAGGAGACCTACCTGGCCTGAGAGACACAGATGGATAAGAGGCTGCTTCTGGGACAGCAGTGCTGTTTTTAGTGTGTTTCACAGATTAGTTGAAAGGGCTGTAAGCGATGTTAATCATTCTAGAACTTCAGCCAGACGTAGCCAATCAACTCTATATTAAAAAAAAACCTGCCCTGTACAGATACTTTTGTACCGACGAGACCCTTGAACGTCGTATTTAGAGATGGGGCAAAAGGGCACAATGTTGTTTTGTCACAATTGTGAAGCTGAAAATGGCACTTCACTTCAATGATCCAATTTAACTACTATGCTCTCAGCTTCCTACTTCACATATATGAACTTCCCCGTGAATGCGCAAAATCGACAAGATTTGAGATTGACTAAAAGAATCTAACTATGGTCGAATTTTATTTATTTATTTATTTTTTGGCAGTTTACAGAGACATTCATTTTAGGACACCCAATTTTAAAACCAATTTCCAAAACCTTTAAGGTCCTTGTGTTCTCAATAGAGACTGTTGGTTGGGTGTGCCGTATACAAATATTCACATACACTATCATTCAAAAGTCTGGATTTAGGCAAGGCTTTTGTACAGTTTTTTTTTATATATTTTTTAAAGAACTCACCAAGACTGTATTTATTTGATTAAAAGACAGTAAAAACAATGAATAATAATATTAATAATACAAACATTGACTAAAAGCATTAAATTATAATATTTCACAATGTATAGTATTGATAAATATTATAATTTAATATTTTTGTGGAAACTGAATTTTTTTCCCAGGATTTTTTGATGAATATAAATTTCAAAAGAACAGTATTTATTTGAAATAAATATTGTGTAACATTAGAAATATCATTACTGTCACTTTTGATCACTTTAATAAGTCCTTGCTGAACAGAAATAAAAAAACAAAACAAAACAAAAACAAGTACAGACCCCAAAACTTTGAACAATAATTTGTGTGTATGCATTTGGTCCTAACCGCCCTGCCTAGAGCCAGTCACAAGTGCACTTCTTGAGATTGAGGTTTCCCTGCGCAACTCTTACCAGCTGGCCTCGTTACACATTCTTTAAAAGGCTTGTGCGCATTGTCCAAATGACTCTCATTTGAGTGAAATGTCTGCCGTTGTATATATACACTGTGTGTTTGTTTTCATATGTACCTCGCTCTTGGTTTATCGGAGGAGTTTGGTGGTCTCTGGTGGTGTGCAGTAGGAGCTGGGTTTTCTGGGCTATAGCGGTTAGGGGCTTTAACTCGACCTGCAACACCTCCCACACCTGAGCTCTGGAATGTGGAGGAGAGTGAGGAGGAGGATGAAGAAGAAGGCAGTGAGCTGGATGATGGGGGAGGATCTTGGTTCTTGGCAAAGTCCTGTGTAATGATATGCTGCAAGACAGAGAGAGAGAGAAAGTGAGGGAAATGAAGGAGGAGTGACATGACAAAGCATCAAGAGTATGAGTGTGACTTACCGAAATGTGGTCGGCGAGGGTCATGATGCGGTGTGTTTTCGGGACAGGTCCATAACTGTCTGCTTGTGAGGAGGGGGGCTGCTGAGGGGCAGAAGGTCCTGAATCTCCTGACTGCCTGAACCGGTTAATGTCAAACCTTAATCCTACACAACATAAGATCAGATAAAAAAACAAAAAAACAAAAAAAAAACACATCTGTCATGAAAATCATGTCACAATGAAAAAAATCTTAATGGCTCTAATTAATCGAAATAATATAAAAAATATATATATTTTTGTTGGTGAAAAATAACCTGGATGTGTTCCTAAAATATTTAAGGAGATTCACCCCATTTTAACAGAACAGACATTCAAGTTCTGGGCTGTGGCGCGAGGGATTTGAAGTCTCACCTGGGTGTGGCTGAGAGCTCTTTTCTGATGGG